TCCCCACAAGCAGTCCTCTTATCATTTAGAATAAACTGACACTCCTTAACACAATAATAATTTGATGTGTGCCTTTGTGCCCACAGTATAAAAGTGACAATAAAGGTTATCTTATCTAATTGCAAAGTGATGGTGTTTCAAATTTCTAGTTATAGCAGAGCCAAAGTTTATAATCAAGGGTTTCTTCTTTGCACTGCTGCCTTGCAAATAAACAGCTCTGAATCAAAAGCAAAATCAAACCATTGCATCAACCTACATCTATACAATCCAAACTTAATATTAAAACCCTGGCTTATTCCGCTGCCAATCTCTCTCAAACTCCACCCACCCACCCCTGCAACAGGAATAGATTTAACCCACCTCACCATTTAAATTCAGCAAGATTAAATCCCAAGCTTATCAGAACTAGGACACAATTGCATAATCTGGGAAAGCCAAATCCCACTGTGTTGGTTGGTTAGCAGAAAAGTAGACTCCATATCTCCGGAATTATATGAGAGAGAGACACCAAAGTGAACACTTAGGTTGGGGCTGTAATGATCTGTAATTATTTTTGAAACAGCAAAGGGTCTTCTCAGTCAACATTGGTGTATCCCCCTTTCTTGTTGGGCGTGGAGAATTAGGTAACTACCTTTTCATGCCTGGATGGGTCAGCTTTTGAAGATGGCCTCCCGAAAAGAGCTTCAACTTCTGGTCCTGCTCTCAAGGCCAGAACAGCCGTGTTCAGTCAGGGCCTCTGCAAGCCTAAGCCTCTCCCCTCCTCACCGAGCGCCAAAATGTCTTTCCCCAGGGGTAGGCCAGCACCTGCGCCTCACCCCGCCCTCCCTTTGCACCCAAGAGAAGCCAAAGCAAACAACTGCAGGAATCGCCTGGCGATTCGGCATCCATCTCTTTCGTTTCCACCGTTAGCGTTAGGAAACTCCGCTCCCCGCCTGAGTCAGGGGCTCATCGCCTTCATTCGGAGAGGATGAGTCCCCGACACTTGTGCGGCTCGATCGCTGTTATGCCTAGGACGGTATTTGCAAGAACATTCAGCCAAGGCTGGCAGAATCCCTCGGGCACCGGCACACCCTTCTCGAGGCGCAGGGCTCCCATCCGCCCCGACCCTCCGCTAAGCTTTCCCTCCATCCTGCAGAACGTCTCTTCCGGACGCCGGCATCCGGCTCTTTTCTTTTAGCGAGGAGATCAGGAGAGAGGCTTGGGCAAAAGTGGCGCTTGAGAGGCTACAAAACGCGAGCCGCGGTGGGAAAAAAAATCGACGCAGACGAGGCGAGGGCACCTCCTCCAGGAGATTTTTAGTCCTGAACCGACCTCGGTTTCCCGATCGTATAAACTAGGCTTGAAGGGGATGATAAATGCCGCCTCGCCCGCGTAAATAGAGACACCTCGATCGGCGAGCACGCCAGGGAAAGGAAGCGTGCGCTTTCTGAGCCATTTCATCCCTCTTACGCGTGGGAGAAAATGCCGAGGCGCCAAGCTCGCGCAATACAGCTCGATCCGGTTCCTTGCTCCTCCGGCGCAGCTCAGGGAAGTAAAACCGCTGCTGGAAATCTTGGCAACTCCCCTGCGCCGGTCGAGAGCGCCCTGCCGCCGGGAGAAGAGGCGCTGGAGCGGGGGCGGCGTGGGTACATTCCAGCGCCGGGAGGGGAAGCGGGAGATGGGAAAGCGGGCAAGGTCCGCCGCTCGCCCTTCCCCTGGACTCTGTGCCACCCGGGCACTCCAATCGCTTTCAGCCACACAAAGCCGGCCCAGCCCCAGCCGCTTACCTTCCAGCAGGCGCCCGATGATGGAATCTAAATTGAGCTTCTCGCCGTCCGACATGGCGTCCTAAGAAACTGAGATCGCCTGGTTGCTTCCTTCCTTCCCCGCGGCGCGCCCCCCTCCCGGCCCCCTCGATGGTCTTGGCAAGCAAGAGGAAGGGAAAGGCCGGCTTTCTTTTCCTATTTCTTGCCAAGGAGTCTCCTCCTCCTCCGAAAGCAACCCGCAAAAAAAAAAAAAGGAAGCCGTGAACCTATAGGCCCCGTCGTCCGCCGCCGCCGCCACCACCACCTACAGGCTGGAGGGATCAAAACGAGGCTTCTCTTGCGATTGCGCGAGCTTTGGCGGATCCCAGGGAAGAGGAGGAGGAGGAGATGGTGGCGGCGAGAGGCTTCTGGGAAGTGTGGTGTTTGCTTCACACTGGTCCCAGTAGAGTCAGAAGAATCAGCTGGCGGACAAATATGCGGACCTATAACGCTTTGAAAATACGGAGTACTTTTGGCGACTTCATTTCCCTGAGAAGCCGGTGAACTGATACCTATTACATGCATCTGAAAGAGAGAGAAAACAGAGTAGAAAAATGGCTAGTTGTCTTAAGACAGGGGTTCTCAACCTTGGCAACTTTAAGACTTGTGGACTTCAACTCCCAGAATTCCTCAGCCAGCGAAGCTGGCTGAGGAATTCTGGGAGTTGAAGTCCACAAGTCTTAAAGTTGCCAAGGTTGAGAACCCCTGTCTTAAGATATCCAGTGCAAAATCCTATGGAAGCTGAATCCCCACGGCCTTCTTGCCCACTAGCCTGGTAGCAGAAGCTTCATCTGCCAGAAAAGTGGTATTTCATCTTCCCAAACAGAGCAAGCCCTTCCAAAGGAATAGTCCCAAGTTGGCAACCAGCAGGTGCAATTGCCTTGTTGCAGGAACTGCCCCCCCCCTCAGCCCAGCCACTGGTCTTGTATCCCCATGGCCATTTCTGCCTTGGCTGCCAGAGAGACCAGAGCCCTGCTCAACAAGCAGTTTTCTTCTTCCTTTCTTGGATCAGGAATATCAACCCTGTGGAATACCTTGCCTTTGGTCACAATTTCTTTAAGTAAACCTTCATGCAGCAGGTCACATGCTCCCACCATTGCAGGCTTGACCTGCCTTGCCTTCCCCAAGCCAAACTGTTGCTGCACTTCGTCTTCTCTCCTGCCTGACTTTCTCCCCTGCCTCAAGCAAGCACAGATCCTTTGACTTCCCTACGCCTTGCCTCTTTGCTGTCCCTTCCCTCTCTGCTGGAGAGGTCCATCAACATCCCCCTCAGTTTGTGCACTAGACCTAAGGCAAGGCTATGTGAGCAAATAGTTTATGACTAGTGTGAAGGTCCAGTCCCAGTGGTTAGCTTATGGTTCATCTTATAAAAGACAGTCAATTAGGTTAATTCACTAAAACATGATTCTGTGTGGTATCCGTATGTTGTAAAAACACAAGTTTTACATCACTAGTGCTAAATTTTTCTACATTCATGTTTGTTCTTTCCAATTCAAAAGACAGATGAAACCTTTCAGTACCACACCTTGAGATGAGTCAAACAAACTGCAGAGGTACAGTTGAGCCAATTACAGCTGCCAATACACTACTTTGTATACAGTCACTAAGGAATTTAATTTTATATATGATAAAATTCCTCTATAGCAACCTTTCAGTTGTTTAGGAATTTGTAAAATCTGCATTTAAATATATACACTAATGACCCATGACTTTTTCACCCTTTGCACATGCTGGGTTTAGGAACCCATCATTACACATAGCTGAATGTGTGTTAATATCTACTACTATTTAGAATATATGTATTTACAAACGAAGGCGAATATACATGTCCCAGGATAATGTTGCAGGATCCAATCTGCGTCAGTCACTGGGACCAGAGGTTTAGTCTTCTGAGCTTTTGGACTCATACTGGAGTCCATCCTCAGGGAACTTCTCTCAAAGCACATACTCCACTAGAGAGAAGTTCCCTGAGGATAGGCTCCAGTATGAGTCCAAAAGCTCAGAAGACTTAAACCTCCGGTCCCAATGACTGCTACATACATTTAAAACAAAACTAGATTTGTTGACTTATTACATAATCTGAAACATGCATTCACCCCAAATCTCGTGAGTAACAAAGAACAATCATGATTCCCACAGTAATCACCTGTGTCTTCAAGGAAGTACAACATGTTTTCTTGAGATAACTATCCAACAATAGCAAAGGGTAGTCATTTATGGTCTAGATCTTGTTGAGCAACCAGCATCTGTAATGGAAAGAATAGAGCATAGAAAGTTTACAGCTATTCCAGCATCTTCCAGGGTACCTTGCTGGTACTGTGCTTGCACATTTGGAGAGTCAGTCTAGTTCAAAGCATGACACAAATTTATCGAGGCTAAAAATTAGCATCATCCATTTATAAATTTGATAGATGAGGGTGAAGGTTCATTCTCCAAGCTTGTGGCTTGGTTTCCGAACCTTTCATTACCAGGCTAGGTAACATTTTCAATGGAGTTTAGGGGATATCAGTGTCAGTGTTCTTCAGGTGTGGGTGTGTCAAATAAGGGTCTTGTGATGGGTCATCAGTGAGTCATCAGTGAGAGGCTTGTGATGGGGAGGTTACATCAGGTCACGGTCATTGGGAGAAGAACTGCTGGTGGGGGGGCTTGCGTGGGTTGATTGAGGATCGGTGCTGTCTCTGGTTGGCTGTGTGGTTGATTTGGATTCTGAGGGGTTCATAGGCTAGTTGTAAGTCAATGTGTCTGTTGATGGAATTGCTTGTAGAGTGCCAGGCTTCAATGAAGTGGCGGCTGGTAGCATGGCCGATGATTTTTGTGTTGCTCCAATCGAACTGGTGTTGTTTGGTGTGGGTGTGGGTAGAGATTAAGGATTTGGGATTGTGGTGTTTGACTGCCAGCCAGTGTTTGTGGATTCTGTCTTTTAATTGACATGATATTTGTCCCACGTAGAATTGTTGCAATAGTTACTGTGAACATTTAGTTCCCCACCCCCTTTGCCTTGCCCATTTCATAGAGCTATGTATTACATCAGGAAATGGTTTGGGGAGGAAATAGCTTGCAGAACCTGTGAGGAACTCTTATCATAACAGTAAGGGTACGTTCATAGAGGCAATTTTCTCTTCAGAAGTTCCTGAGCCAAGGGCCTGCAGTCAACATGAGATAAATCACAGAATCGATGGTTTCAGTTGATTCAAAGGATCTGAATGGTAGGGAAGGATGTCAGGCCTTTCTCTGTCGGCTGATAATGTAAGCCAAGCTATGGCGGAACTATCAGATGCCTTTGATTTCTCCTTGCGTGATGATGCCAGCTCTCTGGGCTCCGACTCTGAGCTGAATGGCATGGCTCCCTATCGCAAGACGGATCGCTTTGGCTTTATTGGGGGCAGTAGCCTCCAGAATGGGTAAGAGGCAACTTCTGCTCCACAGGTCACTGGAAGGGTGAGGAATGAGGGGATGGACCTTTGCTGGACAGAGGAATAACACTCAAAGGAAAAATGGCATTGAGCTTTGCTGTAGACAAGTGGATGAAATCTGTTTTCAAGCTAGTAGAAAAATTTCATATTCTCTGCTACTCGTTTCTGTGTTCTTCCTACTTCTGGGTGCTTCACTTTGCAGAAATAATTTTCATAGGTATCAGATTGTTTTGTTCTCACCTGACTGGCTGCATCTATAGATACTAACAAAAATATTATTTCTAATCATTAGATATAAGGAGTCATTTCCGAAGAACTTTGTAAGGAAAGGTACTTAGTAGATGGGGATGAAAAAGTGAAAGGCAATACATATGTCTTGGTTTAAGGTAATTTCTCAAGATGTATTATTTACTTCAGATGTGGCAAATATCAAAGGCAGAAGGGAGATATATAAATAAGTACACAACCTTATTCTACCCTGTTGTAAGGTAATTTTAGATTAATGCCTTCCAAGGAAGGGGGCTTTTTCCCCCAACTTCTCTTTTGGAGTAAGCAAGCTGTGTTGAATTAGTGCCCCCTGCTCGTTCTTCTGAATGACTATCTCTAGATTTCTTTCACAAAATCCTATTATGGCATCAGATTCTCTTTGTAATTTTCTGGTAATGGTACCTTAGGAGTCTGCCTCCAATAAAATAATTGCTTAAAATTAGAGGTGAAAATTATTTTGCTATTTTTTTTTAATTTAACTTAGCTAGTATTAAAGGAGATAGTAATAAATATAAAATGAAAAGGTCTATAGCTTAGGGTAACTTTTCTCAAGAAGAAGCCAGATATTTTAGATTTAAATTCAGGTCTTCAATTAGGAAAAGCTTTTCATCCAAGAAGCTTGTTCGATTCTGGCTGAATGATGGAGAATGGAAGGATTTATATTCCTTAGCAGTCATCTGGTTGTTAGCACTCTGAAGGTCAGTTGTTAGCTCTCTGAGAGTCATTGAGGTGACTTGGGGGTTTATCTGTAGCCTCAGGGTCACCTGAATCAAAGTGCAGTTGGCTGTGGAATCTTCTTGGGACAATCCCAAGATGAGAAGTGAAACATTTTCAAGGAAAAAAGACCAAGAAAGTCAAGTTGCCTTTTGAAAAGCACCTCTGGGACAACCCACTGTAAACTTCTGAACCAGGCCTAGTTGTCCTTTTCATAGCAGCTTGAGCTAAATTTTGTAATGCTTTGGTTCAGCCATGGAATGCCTCAGTGGCAGCATATCAAGGATGAATACACTGAGATTCAAGAGCTGGATGCACCCAATTGCCCTTCCTGTAGAACTTGGAATTTTTTTTATCACAATTGCCTAAAAACTGGTGGCAAGGTTTCCTGTCATCTTGAAATAGAATTGCAGTAAAACTCTAAAATTGGCTTGCTATCATTTAGGAAAGGGTCAAATTCTCCCCAGGAATCATAAAAATGGGTGACCCATTGCCCATGTTAGGTAGTCGTACTGTTGCTCCTACATTCTCAAAAACATTAAATGTATATGATTACTCATTAGTGTGATAAAAAAATCCCTTTAAAATATACTTAAAGGATTCATATTTTTCCTTTCCTGTTGACTGATAATTTTAAATCACCAAAGAGTACCATTGTTGTATAATTGGTCTATAATTGTAGCTTGTAATAATTGGAGTAGATCAAATATGTAGGGTTAGTAAATGTCTTTTTTTTTTGCATCCTTTCGTTGTTGATTACAGATTAGAATAGGCCAAGTGAATAGAAAGAATCCTGTGAGAATCCTGTATACCTCTTGCACTTCTACAAATATTGTATTATTATATCCTTGTAATATAAGGCAGCTGGAGTACTCTATCTGGATAATGGTCATTGTATATATAAATGATCCACTACATTCCTATTTGGTTTGCTGAATCAAAATAAAATTATAATTGTCATCCATGCTGATTGGAATTATAGTCTGTTTAAATGCTATTATGTGTCAAGATAACAATCTATACACCAATAATGAGGAATCTATGCCACACGTGTCAAAGGTGACAATTTTGTATCAATTTTTGGTACACCAATCCCAAAAGATTTGTCATCATTGCTATACAATCAGTATAGTGCTAATATCCTTTGTGAGGAAGACAAGCCTCTCTACTCCAACATAAGTGTCTGTGTGGCCAGCCAGCCAGTAGACTCATGAGAGGCCAGCAAGCAGGAGTTATAAAAAGCACTCTTAACAATGATGTTCATATCAAGATTATTTGTAATGTAGAAGAGGGCCTGAGTGGAAAATGCCTTTGCCTACCTATTAACTAACATTTCCTGTTTTAGCAATGTAGCTCAGCCACATCCTCTCACCGTATCTATGACAACTTGTGCATCCTGAAAATATAGGTTGTGGTTATGGTGGCTATTGAGTGTACTTTCTTGACTCTTTGGTCTACACGACTTTGGAAGGCTGAACTTAATACATTTCCATTCTTTTTAGCCACACTAGAAGTTCCATTTCAACTTTCAAGATTTCCTGCAAAGAATTGTGAAACCAGCGTCTGATGAAATGCAGACAGCCTTATAGAGAACTCTAAGCTTCTCTCTCCTAACTGCAAATCTATTGTTTTCAGAGCTCCTGAAGAAGAAAATATGTGTGTATGTGCCCATGGTTTGAGATAAGGAAGATGGGAGTATACAAGCCATAACCCACAGCAAGCAGGAATTAATGTGGGCACTCTTATCAGTGACATATAGAGCAAGATTGTCTTTAATGTGAGAAGAGCCACTTAAACATCTCTCTCTCACACACACATCCTTTTTGGTAGCCACTGGAATTTTCCCAAGATCGTCTCATTGAGATTATGAGAGCAGGGTTTTCTGTCCTTGAGGTGAAGATAAGCTGTAAATCATGATGAAAATAAGCAGTAAATTGAGATTTTTAAATTCCTGATGCTCCTGTTTTACTGTCCTTAAAAAAAACACCACTATTTTTGAAGCCTCCTGCCCTCCAGAGATGGGATATGTCACCACTGTTTCCCCTAGTCTTACAGGCTGAAAAAGATTAAGGGATGCGAGTGTGAGAGAAAAGAGGCATGATTTCCAATTATAAAAAGATTCCTGCTTCAAGTTGGTGCAAAACATACCAAGGCAAAAAAACTCGTTACAGGCACGATTAATTTCTTGTAATACCTTCATAGACGTAAATGGGAAGGGAGATAAATAGGATTAAAATGACCAAAGCCCTACCCCCTTTTAATGGAATGGAATGGAATGGAACAGAACGGAATGGAACAGAACAGAACAGAACAGAATATAATAGAATACTTTATTTGGCGAAGTGTGAATAGACACACAAGGAATTTGTCTCACAGTGTACATGCAAAGCAACAGAATAATAATCATAGTAATAATAATACCAATAAGAGGTGGTAGTAAAGAAGATAATAAGAAGGATAATAATACCACAGTCATACTACATGAGTAAATATACATAGACATTAGATAGGACTATGAGAATTAGAGGTTCAGCAGATTGATCTCTGTGTCTAGCTGTTTTGGCATGTAGTGTCCTATGGCAGCATCCCAAGGGGAGGCATTGAAACAGTTTATGTCCAGGATGTGAGGGGTGTGTAGATATTTTCTTAGCCCTCTTCTATAGAAAGCAGGCTAGTTGCCTTCTAGTTCTTTCTGCAGTCTTAATTATCCATTGGAGTCTGTATCTATCTTGTTTGGTTGCTGTATGTATTTTTAATATTTTAATATGCATTACATCTATCACATGCATGTAAAAAGGGGTGGGGATTTAATCATGCAGTTCTGCTCACCATTTTGATACTGTTGACCCCACCCCAGATATCCCTCACACTTGCTTCAATTCTGTTAGCAAGCTCAAACGTCATTTAAAATGCAACCATCAACTGGGTTCTTTCCTGTTGTCTGAACACCCAAGATGTTGAGGAAGGGAGTCGTGCTACATTTCATTTCTGGAGGGAAAGACAGGTTGTTTTTTAATGTGATACTGTTTCTGAGCAAAATATTTGCACTGTTCAGTCTACCCAAGACCCAAGCAGTGGATCCTCTAGTGACTCAGTTCTTCCCTGACCTTTAGTATGCAGATGTTCTAGTATTCCAACATCTGTCAGCACTAAAACAAATACGATGGCTTGATCAACACTGAAATCTAAATCAATCCTATGAAGGCAAGAGAAGCCAAAGACAGGTATACTTTTATTACATTTGTAATAGGGAAGCCTAAATAGACAGAATTCCCATACTGTATTTATGATCTACTGTACCGTTTTTCCAAAGAACTCCGGATAATTTCATTTCAATAATCTAGGCTAAGCTACAGAGAAGCAAATTGCTTGGGGCTTTGTGCATCATAGGAACTCGTCTCAGAAGTGAGGTCATAGCAGAAAAGAAGTACAGCCCTCTGACTCAGAGAACAGCTTCCTCACCCTTTCCGGTTGCAGAACATTTTGTATGCATATGTGCTTCATATTAAAGATGCTTGAACTTGGCTCTTTAAAAGGCAGCCTGAAGATCACCCCCACTCTATTGGATGGTTCTTACTGGATAAATCTCTGCCTCTTTCTCTCTTTTCCATTCTAATTGCCTCACGGCTTTCTCTGCTGCTCCATAGAGAGTCTGTGTGCAACTTCCTACCAAAAAAGAGGGTGGCTCCAGATCCTCCCCCTCCAGCAACCATTGCCTTTGGCCCGAAGGAGGTTCCAGCAAGGACTTTTCTTCTCTTTTTAAATCAACTGCTCCTTCTCTGTAGAAAAAAAAGGAAGCTGACCTCTCTTTTTATGAAATTAACATGTCTTTTTAGCTGAAATCAATATTAACAGTACCTGATCCTGACACAATTTATTTAAATACAGTCAACATTTGTGTCCTACCTGAATATGATTTCTTAAATATCTTCAAGATATTTACTATTAGCATACAAACGCTATTACTCAGATTTATTCAGATGTAACTAAATGTTTGTTTCAATGTAACTTTTAGTCATATATTGCGTTATTCAATTTTTTTTCTCGGTTTCATAGCATTGTTTTGTCCATCAAAAGTTAGTATTTTGTACCTCTAGAATTTTTGTTCTACGGAGCACAATGAATTTGAGATCTGTGTTTGTAGTTTTGCTGTTGGGAATTTGTTTTGTTTTGTTTTTTTGTGATCAAAAGCCAGTAGTAAGCTAGTCTTTTATTAACCCTTCTCGCAACATTTGATTGAAATGATTTTCAAGATGAGGATGTAAAATGGACATAGGTTTGAGCCAAAATCAATGAAATTCATCTTTTCCTAGTGCACTCCAATTCTTCACCTTCTTAGTTTGTTCTATTACAATATCCTCTGTTTCTACAATATTTTCCATCAGGTTTGCTTGGTTTTCTATTTCAAATATCCATGTAGATTGCATTGCTTTTTCAAACATGTTTTTTTTCCTCATGTTTAAGAAAAAAACTTCAACTGAATATTAATTTTTTAAAATCCTCTGTATCATTGTATGTATTTGAATCCAACTTTTTTTTTTAGCTTTTTTGCATGTCCACTAAGCATGATAAAATATCCCTTCATGTTGTGCACTTTTACAACACCCACTGGAAATCCCTTTATACATTCTAGATAATTTCTGACATCATGTACCAATGATATATCATTTTATAAGAATTTTCTTTAAGATCATAACGTAGTGTAAATTTCAACCTCCTTTATCACATATCGTTCCATTAATCTAAAATATTTGACCCAATTTAATAATTTAAGTTCATGCTAATATGACTCGGAGTTTGAGGGCTATAGGAAAGAGAGGTACAGCATTGGATTTTAAAATGATATTGTACTCTGTTATGGTCTGTAGAATGTTTAAATAAACTGACTGATTATATCCGGAGGACCTGCATATCTTTGACAGGGATTTCTCTGGGCAGCACTGACCTAATTCATTCTGGAAAGCACACTTCAGAAAGAGAGAGGAAAGGGGGGCTGGACAGAACATGCAGTGGAGAATCATGATAGTTAATGAATCAGTTCTCCTATCAGTTTCTCTGCTCTTAAGTTAGGCCAGGTGTAGGCAACCTTGGCTCTTTTATGACTCCTGGACTCATGGAACTGAAGTCCACGAGTCATAAAAGAGCCAAGGTTGCCTACCCCTGAGTTAGGCTATTTGATCTGCTGGAGTAAACTGGGGGAGGAATGGAAATTACTCAAAAGGAAGACTGAGGCATCTGCAAATGCTATGTCTCCACATTAACCTATTTATGCTTTGAACTGGTGTGTTTGTGTGTGTGTCTATGTGGTGATAATCATAGAACTATTCTGTATGCAGGTTTATGCATTTTTAAACCTGAGGAATAACCAGTTTCAAACCAGATTTTTGTCAAGGGGAAAAGGGATGCATTTTCAGAGGACAATCAGCAGGCAAAATTGACACTTCTGTAGCTTACACTTCGAGCAAGTATTGGACTAATACTTCAAACCATATTTTCTCTTCAGCCAGCCTCTCTCTCCTTTATAGCAGAGGTGGGGAACTATGGCCCCTTTATGACTTGTGGACTTCAACGCCCAAAAACAGGCTCTATAGGAATGGATTTAATAGGAGCCCTCATGAAGGGTAATAATGTCTTGCAAGATTTTTTTTCCACTGTGGGAAAGTACAGTGGGGAACATTATGGCCGTACACGAAAGTTAGAGATATGCCCTAAAAGTTTTGCTTTTTCTCTCCTCCATATGCAGTCAAGATCATCACCGCGTTGAGCTCATCCGACACCGTGAAACCAAATGGCTGGAAATGACAGCTCACTGGGAGAAAACCATGGCCCGGCGCTATAGGAAGGTAAGAAGGTATCTATCATTTTCTTTAAATGGTGATTTCAGCACATCTTTTCCTCAGAGTCTTTAGAGACCCTATTATAATCTCAAGTGATGTTCAAAAAGTAATGTGCATTTGACATATTATATCAAATGACAGTTTGTTTAACCATGATTTATTGAATAAATAGCAAATGGTTAACTTCATAGAACAAAGTCGAGACCAAATATATTATACTGTAACATGGCATAACATCTAAAACTTATCAGAAGCTTTCCCTTATCTCTCTTTTGCACATACCAACCCCAAACAGAAACAGTCCAAATAGAACAATATAAATGGAAAGCGTTCCAAGGTGCCAAGTTTTTGTAACCAATGTTTGCAGTTTCCTTGAAATATTAATATTACAGCTTCCAATTCAACTGATATTTGGAAATACAATGCAGTTATAAACTGATATTAAATTAAAAGACCTGATGTTAAAAGCCCAGGAAAAAAATGAAAAGATCTTTGCATGAAACCAAAAGGACAGAAAGTTAGGAAGACTATTCTAACAAGTAGATATTAAAACTGAGAAGTCTTCTTCCTGCATCAACCTTATCTCAGGTGAGCATGAATTACTCCAAGAGAGATTTCCAAAGGCAAGCTTAGCCTATGAGCAAATTCACATGAAAGATGAATAATCCTTTTTGGCACAAAAGACCTTTTAACATTATGAGGCTTTTGAATCATTCATATATTAATTGGATTGTGAAACTTGGCATTTGCTTTTAATTCTTTTGAATTTTATCTTAATTTTATGGGCTGCCTTTATACTGTTTAATATTGTGATCCTAAAATCCATACAAGGATTCAAATCTTTATCAAGGCTACCCAAGGTTACAAAATACTTTCGAGATTAACCTACTAAAGATATTGCCCTAATATGATTTCTGGAACTTTTTGTGTGACCAACATGGCTTAGTATTTTGTATATTCTCTTGGGAAGCACTTGGAAAAAAAATATTTATGGCAATAAAACTGTTTAGAAGGCAAGCATTGATAGATAGATGATAGACAGACAGACAGACATGTGTGTGTGTGAGAGAGAGGGAGGGAGTGGGAGAGAGGGAGGGAGGGGGGGAGAGAGAGATGTAGGTAAGTATATGGATAATAGAAAATAGAAGCCACAACATCTTGGACATTTACTAGGAAAACTGAAAATGCAGATTCAAATAGCAGACTGCCACTAATTTTTTTTACACCAATAGATATATTGTTTTCCAAATATTGTTGACTGCAATTCCACTATGTTTAATCACTGGCCATTCTGGCTACAGCAGGGAACAGTTCAGGAACATCCAGAGGACCATCCAGTTGTTACTCCTCCATGCTGTAGTATGAAGCCAACCAGAAAAGGCTAAATTGGTGATATGCATGGCAGTGACACTCCCATCTTGTAAGTCCTGAGCTTCAGCTTCTTAACTCCCATCCAATCCATCATTGGTTCCACACATCAATTTAGTCTTTGTAATGTTGCCCCAACTGAAACAGATAAAGAAGAAATAGAGTTTATTGATATGCTGATGATGGCTAATCACTGTTTAAAATTCCCTGGCAGTTACCATAGATTTAGGTAGATGTTTTATAAAAATGGAGAAAAAACTGAATCCTTCTTGCTGTCTGTGGCCCAAACCTTGGCTAGCTATAGAGACAAGGGGTATTGGGATTCTTTATAGGAGTGGGTTCTATACAAGATCATTATGCACTTAGTTTATATGGTTTATAATGACTCAGGTAAAGCTGCAGTGCCGAAAAGGAATCCCTTCCTCTTTACGTGCACGCTGTTGGCCTCTGTTGTGTGGAGGACAGACCAAAATGGAGAGGAGCCCTGGAAAGTACCAGGTAAGCCTGCATCTTATAGAACTTATTCTAGCCTTTGAGGCACAAGATATTCCATGTGTGTTAAAAGTATTTGGATTGGAAATGTTCTATTATTACATCAGCCAATAGGACAATTGCCTCTTCTGCTATTGACTTATCATTTCCATCTGTGCCATCTATATCAATTAACTGGCAAATCAACTTGGTTGTCCATGACATTCTCAAGAATTCAAAAATACTGTCTTGCTTCTTCAAAAATCAATTTTCACTTCCGTAGAGTACCACATGGAAAACTACTGTCTGCATAGTTTCTGATCTTTATGGCCATAGATATATCACATCTGAATATTCATTTGTACCCTACCAAGGGGTAGTATTTCTTGATTGCTGGATCCTTTTAGTTCAATAACTGATCCTAACAGGCAGAAGATATCGACTACTTCAGTGTCATTTCTAAAGCTGGTCATTGTGCCTGTTATTATTGGTCTGCTCTTTTTTATATTTAACAATAGACCTATTTTTTCCACTGTGCTCCCAGCCACATATTTGCTTTTGCCATGTAACTGAGCCCGTGCACTTCCTTATACCAATAAAATAATCAATTTTATTTCTGTGTGCTCCATCTGGTAATGTCTCTATCTATCTATCTCTCCCTCTCTCTCTGTGTATACATATACGTACATATATACACACACACACACACACACACGCATCATTTTTGAAGACTGTGTTTGCAATAAAGGAATTGGATTGATGGAAACTAATAAACCATTCTCCTGCTTCATTTCTGTTTCTTAGATCATACAGTTCAACTACATTTTCCTCCTTACTATTTTCAGTTGTGGCATTCCAGTCTCCAACCATATCTTGCTGGCATGATTTTCAATTTCATATTGAAACTGACCATAAAACCCATCAACTTCTTCATTATGTGTTACGATTCGAGGGATAAACTTGGATAACTGTTATTTTAAAGAGTTGCCCATTGCTTTTTATTGATATTGATATTATTTGATTACATTTATTTATTTATTTATTTATTTATTTATTTATTTATTTATTATTCAAATTTATATCCCGCCCTTCTCCTTGCGGACTCAGGGCGGCTGACAATCGATTTATTTCATTTATACCCCGCCCTTCTCCCGGAGGACTCAGGGCGGCTTACAGCCAGTTTAAAACAATCCCACATAAATACCAAATACAAATCTAAAATAATTAAAAATAAATATTTGAATTGGCCGCTCTATTAAAATTTTGTTAAAACCAATTAAAATACCCCTAGGCCAGTCCTGCCTGCTGAAACAGCCAAGTC